TTAAACTAAGGAGGAGCAAAGGAGATGTGTTTTTAAAATCAGTACACCTGATTTTTAAAAGGTGTTATAAAAAAGAGAGTTTTAAAAGGAGTTATAAAAGAGAAGAATAAGTTGAACATTTTTATTTCCCACTTTTAAAAAGAGTAAATATAAGCAACCTTAAAAATCAGGTTAAATGGTAACATAGCTATAGGCATGTACAGGGCTTTCCAAAGTCTTAGTGCATTTTTAAGCTATTAAGGTTTTAAAATGCACTGAGGTTTTTGGGACATCATCTCTCTCTCTCTCTCTCTCTCTCTCTCTCTCTCTCATATATATGTATACATATCTAAAAAGGGGTGGCTATGTGTATATATGTATGAATGAAATTTGTATCTCTATATAAGGAGTTGTATCTCTGGGGAACAGGGTTTAAGCCTTTCTAACCATTCTAACTGCAGATTCAGGAAGCAGCAAAATAAAAATTTAGTCAGATTTTTCTTTTTTCATTAAGTTTAGATTCATGCTGGTCAGTGAATAATAATTTATTAAGCACCTATTCTGTGCCAAGCCCTGTGCCAAGTATTGGAAAGACAAAGAAAGGCAAAGGACAGTCCCTAGTCTAATGATGGCAATAACATGAAGTCATCTATGTACAAACAAGATATATATAGGATAAATTGGAAATAATCAATACAGGGAAGCCACTAGCATTAAGGCAGAATCAGGGAAGCCTTCTTGTAGAAAATGAGATTTTAACTGAAACTTGAAGGAAGCCAGGCAAGTCAGGAAGCAGAGATGAGGAGGGAGAGCTTTCCAGGCACAAGAGACAGCCACTAAGTGAAAATGCTTGGAGTCTGGCTATGGATAAAGTATCACTGGACTGCAGAGTAGGTGGCAAAGAGTAAGGTGCTAAGGAAAATTCCCTGATGTCTGTAGAAAAATAGGAGGGGGTGAAGTGGTGAGAGTTTTTGAGTGCTAAACAGAGGACTTCATATATGATTGTTGAGGAAATAGGGAGCCACTGGAGTTTATTGAATGGGAGTGTGTGACATGGTCAGATCTGTGCTTTAGGAAGAATAAATTGACAGCTGAATGGAAGGCAGACTGGAGTGAGGAGAGACTTGAGGCAGAGAGACCAAAGAGAAGACTACTGCAGTAAGTCCAGGTGTGAGGTGATGAGAATCTGGAGAAGGGTGCTGGCCATGTCAGATGAGAGAGAAAGGGGCATATAGGAGAGAGGTTAGAAAGGTGAAACTGACAGATGTTGGCAACAGACCGGATGTGAACAGTGAGAGGAAATGAGAAACTGAGGAGGACACCTAATTGTGAGCCTAGGTGACTGGGAGGATGGTGGTGCCCTTGACAATATTAAGAAAGTTCAGAAGGGGGAAGGGTTTGGGGGAAGAAATGAATTCCATTTTTGACATGTTGAGTCTAAGATGTCTATGAGGTATCCAGTTTGAGATGTCTGTTAGGCAGTTGGAGATGCAAGTGGAGAAGTTAGGAGAAAAGTCAGATCTGGAAAAGAAGATAAGAATCATCAGCAGAGAAATGATCACTGAATCCACCAGAGCTGATGAGAAGACCAAATGCAACAGAACAGAGGAAGAAGAAAAGAAGACAGATCCAAGACAGAGACCCGGAGGGGGCTGGGGGCGTGTACACCTACCTTCAATGAGCATGACGTGGATAAAGATATAGCAAAGATGATTAAGAAAGTATGGTCAGATAGGTAGGAGCATAATAGAGCACTGTCAAAAGAACTGGAAAGAAGAGAGTATCAAGGAGAACAAGCTCATGCACAGTGTCAAAGACTACCGGGAACTCAAAAAATATGATGGTTGAGAAAAGGCCGTTAGATCTGGCAATTAAAGGGTCAGTGGAAACTCTGGAGAGAATAATTTCAATTGAATGAAGTTGGAAGCAAAAGTGTAGAGTTAAGAAACAAGTGAGAGGAGAGTAAGTGAAGATACTTATTTCAGACGGCCTTCTCAAGGAGTTTAGCCATAAAAGGCAGGAGAAACATGGGATACTAGCTAGGAGGGCTAGATGGATCAAGTGAGGGTTTTTCTGAGGATGAGGGGAAAATGGGCATGTTTACAGGCAGTAGGAAGTAGCCATTATACAGAGATTAGACAGGGAGAAATTGCAGCTAAATGAGAGTGGGAATAATAGAAGGCAGAAATCTGCTGGAGAAGACAGGAGGGAATGGGATTGCTTTGGCATGCAGAAGGGCTTTGCCGTGGCAAGGAGAAAGGACACCTCCAAAACAAATGTGAAGGAAGACAACAGCAGAAGGCATCTGGGTGATGTGAAGAGGAGGGAAGAAGAGAGAGTTCTCAATAAATAATTTAAATTTTTTCAACGAAATGAGACAAGGTTCTCAGCTGAGATGGTACAAAAAGGGGGCAGTCAAAGGAGTTTTGAGGAAGGATGGAAAGTTTGGAAAAGCTGCTGTAATGAGGGAAAAATGAGTTAATTAAAGAAATGTAAAAGGATTGACTTGATACAATGAAGGGTCAGTTGAGATTAAGTCACATAAATCTGTGTGGTCCGCATGGTTTCACTATTTTCTCAAACATTATTCAGTAGCATGTGAGTGGAAGTGAGGCAACAGATAATGGGAATAAAACTAAGGCTGAAGCTTTTCAGGACAAGACTGACAGCTAAGGAGGCAAGGGACTGGAGAGAATAAGACAGTGCAGAGCTGAACTGATTCACCAAGAAATTAAGATAAGAAAGGGAAAAGAAGGTGAGAAATGCAGAGTGAGAACATGGGAAAGAACTCCAATTTGAAATGTCTAAAAGGCAGTTTGTGATATTCATCCTACAAGAAGGTGTGTTTGCTCATTTATTTGAGATAGATAGTCAATCATGCTATGGATATATTTCTGAAACTGAACAAAAATGACAAAGCTTAGTGTGCGTATGAATTTGATGATCCCTTGCAACAACTCCATTTCCCTCCCATCACCAGGGGTCTGAGGCCTAAGGCTGGGAAACAATGTATTAGTTAATGATCCATTCCTATTAGCAAATTTTAAGTCAGATTAACTTGCTACAGGCAAGTCCTTGGGTATTTTTATCCTAATACAAGATATTCCTACAGGGAGAATACTTGAATGCACTGATAGTCAATACATATTGGAAGAGGAAGACCATTGGGAAATGACTCAATTCCAGGGACATATGAACCTGGCTACTTTTTTTTCAGGAAATTACACCATTTGAGCTTATTACCCATAGTTTCTCATTATATCCTGTTATTTATACTGCTATTCATGCAAACAGTGATATGTATTAGATTATTCATGTTTGCCAATACCAAATAACTTTTTTATTTATTTTAAAGAGTCCCCTGATATCTCTAGTTGCTAGCACATTCTCCTCAAATTAGTCTGCATTATACTTGTATGTTGTATTTTCCTAGAAGAATGTAAACTCATTGCAGGATGGGGAAGATTTCATTTTTGTCTCAGAATCCTCAGAGCTCAATTCAGTACCACAGTACACAGTAGGTATTTATCAAATGTTTGTTGAATTGAACTGAATGATCTGATCATTAAAAAAAGCATATTTACCTGTTATGAAAATAAAATGACAAATTGCATTCTTAGGCTGTTTGTGCACAGGTTATTGAAAATGTCAGGCTTAATTATGTTTTATACTATGTTTTAAACGATAAAATCTTGAGTTAAAATAACCCTAAGATCATCTAGTCCACCCTTGTCCTTATACAGGAAAAGGAAACTGAGGCCTAGAGAAGTTAAGTGACTTGCCTAAAGTTATAAAGGTAATAAGGAGCAGTGCCAGGATTTGACCTCATATCCTCCGATTCCAAATCCAGTGCATTGCAGCAAGGATGCCTCATGATATATTAATTTAAAATGCAACCAATGTATATTTTTTAATCAGAAGGAAGACCATATTTGGATATAGCTTTAAATTTTCTGCCTGAAACATTAACACAAATTTGGATGTGAACAAAGATAAAGAATAAAGGTTATACTTACTTCTCTAATTATTAGCATAAATAGAAAAAGTTAAATAATTTGATTCTATTTAGTTTTTTGTAATTAATATGCATATCTAATAATTACAAAAGGCTCTACCTTCATTTTCTCAGTAAATACACAAGCTAGATAATTACTTGATGCCATCAAAAATAGAACAAACTTCTCTAGAAATTAGGTTGAAATCAACATAGAAGTACGGCAGTTCTTCTCTACTTATTCCATCTCTTACCATGCTTTCTGTCCAATAAGATATAGTCAAGCACCCAACAGCTGAATTAATGTCTTTCTGTTAGACTTGGTAGAAGAAACATCCTGAACTCACAAGTCTAGAAATGAGGGAAAAGGTTGGCTTGCTGAAGTGACACTGCTGGGAAGCTGAGAATAGGACCCTTAATTACTCTAGGCAGACCCAGAAGAGAGAGACATGCAAGAAGCCAGCACCACTCCAGTAGCAAGAACAGCTGCATGCTCCTTCCCCCACTGAAGCATCATATTCCACTCAACTACATGTGTAGCAAGAGCTAAGAACTACAAATACAATCTAAAATTAAACTATTAAGATAATTGTATATTTAACTCTTAAAGATCTAGCCCAAATCTGAAAAGCACATACAGACAAAATAAAACAACAAACTCAGCATCTTATTATTTGCTCTAAAAAAAACCCCAAAAACCATTTACCCCTATCACTACCCCCCCAAAACACCAAATTTATATAGTTAATAGAAGGAGAAAATATCCAGCTTAATTAACGTATTTACTTCCAGAAGTATTATTTTCAGCAAAAGATAATAAGCTTTAAATAACTATGTGTTGTTTTCTGGTATGGTTTTGTTATGTTTTGTAAAAGTAACTGTATAAGAACGAGGCTATATTTAAGTGGACAACTATTGTTACTAAAATCAGCATTTACTTTAAAACAGTATTTAATAAAGATTAATATATTTTATGTAAGTAAAATTAGCCTAAAGAAACATTTTTGACATTAATGTTTTTACTCACCAAAATGCAGTCCACTTTAGATTGTACAGTTTTGCTAAAAAGGAGAAGAGAAAAAAGTTAAATTAATCACTGTGATACACTTGTTGACTTTTAACTATAACACTCCAAAGCACACATACATTTGTCTGTCTTTTGCTTGCTACTGATGAAACAAAGACATATGTATTTTTCCTATTAAAAAATCCAAATGTAAAAAAATAGATCTGGAATCTCTTATATTTTTTCTACACACAAAAAGGGGGAAAAACAATCATTACCCACTTAGATGTTTCCCAGTTCTAAAAAAAATATAATTACAACCTCACAATTTATCAGAACTACCTACATATTTTCTAAGTACACCATGATTCCACACCCCACCATTCATTTAGCAAATGCATCGACTTCTGAGTATTAATATCAAAAGATGTTCTGAAGAGTTATTCATACCATGTTAAAGAGGAAGCAACTGTTGATAAAGTATCATACTTAGAACTAAGGATACAGGACATATAATATCAAATTATAATTTTTACTACCTGTCTATTACTTCAGACGATGGCTTCCTTTGAATTTAAAAACAAGAAAACAGCATAACTTTGAATCTGGAAACTTCTTACAAAATAGATTAGAAAAATAAAAAAGAATGATTAAACATGTTTAAAAATAAAAAAGTATTTAATAATTATTCAGAAAAATTACATAATTTAATAAACTTAAGAGGTGAATATGGCAATTTAGAGAGGTTTTATTGCATAGGCAATTTCCTACATACTACTAAGTTAGAAACATGAAAGAGATAAATTATATACAAAATTCTGCTTGTTCTGTCACTTATAAAAAAAAAAAAAACCTGTTGGCCCATTTAATGTGTAGTTGGCTGGACAACCTATAGAACCTGTCCATCAGTACACATATAGAATCACATAACTAATAAGAGTCTGAAGGGACCTCAGAAGCCATCTAGTACAACCTAATCTTTTTACAGATGAGTAAACTGAGGCCCAGCAAGGGTAAGCGTCTTGCCCAAGGTCACACAGATATTAAGCATCAGAGGAAAGACCTAAATTCAGGTTCACTGCCTCCAGGGTCAGTATTCTTTCCATTGTACCACAATGACACTGTAAATGGACACTGAGCCAAAATGAAAAAGAAGAAACAGAACAGGCAAGACTGTTTTTGAAAAACTGCACAATTCTTTTAATGAATCCAAGTTTTGTGGCTCTTCTTTTAATACCAAGTCTTCCAATAAAATTAAGTAATCAATACTATAGTGTCTGAATTTAAAGGAATGAATTTAAAGATCAATGGAAGGGCTTCAACACATTACTCCCAGGGAGATGCAGAAGCAGAAGTTAAAAGGATGTCATTAAAGAAATACACCCAGCAATAGCACTTCTAGGGCTATATCCCAAAGAGATCATACAAATGGGAAAAGGACCCACATGTACAAAAATATTTATAGCAGCTCTTTTTGTGGTAGCAAAGAACTGGAAATTGAGAAGATGCCCATCAACTGGAGAATGGCTGAACAAGTTGTGGCGTATGAATTGGGAATACTGTTGTGCTGTAAGAAATGATGAATAGGCTGACTTCAGAAAAACCTGGAAAGACTTGTATAGTCTGATGCTGAGTGAAGTGAGCAGAACCAAGAGAACTTTGTACACAATAACAGCCATGTTGTGCGAAGACTAATATGGATAAACTTAACCCTTCCCAGAAATACAAGGATCTAAGACATCTCCAAAGGCCTCATGATGGAAAATGTTATCCACATCCAAAGAAAGAACTATGGAGTTTGAATGCAAATCGAAGCATACTATTTGCTATTTTTTTTCTTCCATTGAGTTTTGTTTCCTCTTTCTGGTGGTTCCTCCTATTGGTTCTAATTCTTACAACATCGCTAATATGAAAATATGTTTAATAGGAATGTGTATGTACAGCCTATATCAGAATGTGCGCCGTCGTAGGGAGGGTGGTGAGGAAGAAAGGGGAGAAAAATTTTAAACTCAAAAGCATATGGAAGCAATTGTTGATAAATCAAAATAAATTAATAAAAAAAGAAAAAAAATTTAATTACATTAAAAAGTCAAAGAAAAAAAAGAAATACACAACCACAAAAAAACATAAGCTAGTCACCAAGAACAAGTAGACAGCCTAACTTCTCCATTGATACACATACACTGGCAAAAGAGGAAGAAAAATATGGATGGACTCCTCAGACAAATTTCTAAGTCTAAAAGTGGCACAGAATAGGCGAAGAATGGGTCATAATTTGAATTATTAGAGGTAACATACATGAAAGCATAGATCCACTGAAGTTCTAGACTAATGATTCGTTAGAGGAAAACACTGCCTTAAAAATTCTCCTACAACATGATATTTTCCATTCATATGTGAAAATCATATAAGATTTCTTGCATGATGTAATGTAACAACAGAAATAATTTTGGGACAAATTACTATCAAGTGAGACACAAAATAGGTACTTTGTGTATATCCTTATTTTTATATCAGCTTCCTTTCTTTTTTAATTTAGTATACAATAAACTCCAAGTTACTTTCAAAACTGTCCTGCTTATCTATGCTTTCTTCTGTTCTTTTATATGGATTTTAAAAAATGTTTCAATTACTCTCTTTTGTTTGGCATCACTTGCTAATGCCCTTCCAAAACCACAATCCCAATTAAAAAGCCCAGGGGGCGGCCCACACAGGACCACTACACACTGACAGCATAGCGTATGTGCATAGGTGCACCTTGTAACAAATAAGCATAGTCAACCAAACCAAATTCACACTACTCATGTCCAAAAATGTGTGTATCCATAACCTTTCTGACAGGAAGTGGGCAACATATTTGATCATCATGGGTCCTCCAGAGTCATGTCTGGTCATTGCTTTGATCAAACTCTTAAATTTTTCAAAGTTGTTTTTCTTTACAATATTGTTGTCTTTATATAAATTGTTTTCCTGGTTCTGCTCATTTCACTACTCCAATTCATACTCCCCAGGATTCTCTAAAATCATCATTTCCCCCCCTTAATTTATTTATTTATTTATTTTTAGTTTTCAACATTTACTCCCATAAGATTTGGAGTTCCAAATTTTCTCCCCATCTCTCCCTTCCCCCTAACCCCAATACGGCATGCAATTTGATACATTCATATTGAACCGATTTTCACATTAGTCATGTTCTAAAAAAGAATTAGAACCAATAGGAGAAACCATGAGAAAGAAGAAACAAACAAAAAAAAAGGAAAAAAAGAGCAAATAGAATGCTTTGATCTGCATTCAGACTCCATAGTTCCTTTTCTGGATGTGGACAGCATTTTCCATCATGAGTCCTTTGGAGTTGTCTTGGATCCTTGCATTGCTAAGAAGATGAGTCTATCCAAGTTACTCACCACGTATTATGGCTGTTACTGTGTACAATGTTCTTCTGGTTCTGCTCAACTTCATTCAGCATCAGTTCATTCAAGTACAAAATCATCTCTTTCTTTCAGTGTAATAATATCCCATTACATTCATATGCCATAATTTATCCAACCTTTTCCCAACTGTCCAATAAGCAATCTAAGGCATCCCTTTGGATTCTAATTCTTTTCTCCACCTCCTATCCTCTTAGTCCCCTCTTCAGGATCAGGAATTTTGTTTTCCTTGTTACTATTCCCTCCCCAGTATTATCTTTCCTTTTAATGATCCCTCTCCTTCCTCATACTAACTTGGTTCCCTGTTGAAAACAGTATATGTTCAAGCTTCCTTTACCCATTTTGGACAGGAGCAAAGTTTAATCTGATGCTCATGTCCCCTATCTCTTCCTACATGTTTGTATATTCTTCTCAAGTATTCCAATTATGAGAAACAGCAAGCCCGCGCCCTACCCTTTCCTACATTAGTTATATCTCCTTTGACTCTCCCTTCTACTTCCCCTCATCAAACCCTCAGAACAGAACTCAATCCATCCTCAGCTTTCTGTTTTTCTTGTTTAATACCCTCAATATTCTTTGAAGACATTAAAATTCTAAAGGGAAACATTTCTTCTCCCTATTGATCTGTTAGCACTACACATCATCAGGCTGCTCAATTACAATTAAGTCACCTTTCTAGGTTTTTCTGGCCTCTTGTGCTTGTAAGTGACTACTCAGCTTTAGTCTTTTTCATCAGATATGCTTGATTTCCATTAAGGATCCATTCTTTCCTTTTTAGGATTATATTCAGCTTTATAAATGATTTGTAATTATCTCTCCTTGATATGTTTTCCAGGTTAATTGTTTTTGGTAAGAGATCTCTTACTTTTTTTCTATCCTTTTTAATCTTTTGATTTGATTTTTATTTGGTCTATGCTAGTTTTCAGGGATCCCATTCTTGACTGAGATTTATCACTTTCTCTTCTAAGCTACTGTCCTTTCAACTCTTTCTTCCAGAGCTCTTATTTTGTTTTTAAGTCTTTTGTTTCATTTCTTCTTGGTAAGTATTCAGGTTATCCTTGTGGAAAACCCATGTTTTTTTTTTTCCTTTAAGTCTGTTTGCAGTGAGATTTTTAATTATTTTTGGTACTGGATCCCTACAGTAAGATTAAACAAACCACCACAGAACTTCTCAGGTTATATGTTTTGATTTTCATTTTGGAATTACAGTGGCAAAATCCTAGATAAATAAGTAATTATTAGCATGGTATTTAAGATTTACAAGGAGAAATAGTAACCCAGCAAAAAATACTAAGTATACTACTGCAGTGTTTCCATTACTTCAGAAAACCCTGAGGTTTCTATGTAAGACCTAGAGAAGATTACTCCTTCTCTGATTACTGCTACCAAGTGCCTCAATATAATAAAAGTACAGCAACTAGTCATACTTGAGGCATGAAAGTCTTCTAAGAAAATAATGGGATCCTTTAATGTGCATCGTTGTTAGTGTTTGCTTGTTGTTGTTGTTCAGTCGTTCAATTGTGTCCAATTCTTTGTGAACCCGTGGACCACAGCAGCCCAGGCCTTTTCACCCTCCACTCTCTCCCAAAGTCTGTTCAAGCTCATGTTCATTGCTTCCATGACACTA